GATCATGAGAAAAAATAGGTATCCTATAATATGATCAGATGTAAAAATACATTATTAGATATAAAAAGATCTAAACATATGTAATTTTATATGATCATATATAATCAAATCCGAAATTTGACACGATATAATCTTATCTTTATATAATCATATTTGGCTTGACCTTATTAAATATAAGAGTAGATCTAATCGAATATGATTATATAAAGATAACATCATATCACGCCCTGTTTTGGACATTGTTATAAATAATCATATAAAAGTACATATGTAGGGGAGAATGGGGGAATTGCAGTCAGTAAGAATTATTTCTTATTTTCTGAAAAAGAAATGTCTTTAAAATCAAAATGAAATAGTTGACGGATACTTCATCAATCATTCTTTGAAAGTAGAAGCATAAAAGTCAAAGAAGCTAATAAATAATTAAGCCTGCATTGATTATAAAAATCTCTGAATTGACCGCAATTGTCCGACGTGTTGGGTAATTATGGTCGCCTCTTGGACAACCGCGGTCAGCTTTCGGGGGTAACTACAGTCACCTTTGGAGTAATGATAGCCGGTCGCTAGCAGCTAGGGTTCGGCGGGCTATATTTTGATAGGAGGCCAAAAAATCTTGTATCGGTAAAAAAAATAAGATTGTTACACATAAAATAGATAGAAATAAGTTTTTGAAGTGAAACTTTTTTAGGCACGGTAGTGAATTCGATTCGCGACACGAAAAAGTGTAACGGAAGTGAAACTTCTTTGGTACGGTAGTAAGTTCGATTGTGCGACACAAAAAGTGTAACGAAAATTTGACCAATAGGCGTACGGCGTTGGCGAGACGGTTCTTCTTCTGGCACGGTAGTAAATTCGATTATGCGACACGGAAAGTGTAACGAAAATTCGACCAATAGGCGTACAAAGTGAAACTTCTTTGGTACGGTAGTAAGTTCGATTGTGCGACACGGAAAGTGTAACGAAAATTTGACCAATATGCATACGAAATGAAACTTTCTTGGTACGGTAGTAAGTTCGATTGTGCGACACGGAAAATGTAACAAAAATTCGACCAATAGGCGTACGAAATGAAACTTCTTTGGTACGGTAGTAAGTTCGATTGTGCGACACGGAAAGTGTAACGAAAATTTGACTAATAGGCGTACGGCGTTGGCGAGACGGTTCTTCTTCTGGCATGGTAGTAAGTTCGATTATGCGACACGAAAAGTGTAACGAAAATTTGACTAATAGGCGTACGGCGTTGGCGAGACGGTTCTTCTTCTGGCACGGTAGTAAGTTCGATTATGCGACACGAAAAGTGTAACGAAAATTTTCGACCAATTGGCGTACGAAGTGAAACTTCTTTAATTGGTACGGTAGTAAGTTCAATTGTGCGACAACGAAAAAACGTCACAAAATAGTGTCACGAAAATTCGACCAACAGGCGTACAAAGTGAAACTCCTTTTGGATCGGTAAGTAAATTCGATTTTGCGACTTGAAAACGCGTCACGAAAATTCAATCAGGCGTACGGCACTGGCAAGACGGATATAGTGAGAACTGCGTATAACACTATATTTTCGAGTTGCGGGCGGCTTGGAGTGACTAATTCCGTTGCATTGTTTTTGTATTAATTTCAGAAAAGTTATGGCAAAGCCTTGCCTTCAGAAGTTTCACTTCTAACGCGCGTGGCGACCACACGCATGATTTTTTCTCTTATAAGATGAATTAATGCTTTTAAATACACCGCATACATCTTTTAGATGATTTTCCAATTGATCTACTTGACCACACTGAAAAAGAGCATTTACACTGTTGGCAATCACTGTAACTAATTCTGTACTCGCATCGATTACAGAGTCAATAGCACGGTCAGTTATACCCAAGGCAGTTAATTGTGAAGCGAAATTACAAGCAATACTTTTCAATTTTGCACTAGTAAGAATTGAATCAGTAGTACAATTAACATTATTAGTTATATTAGAAGTTTGGGAAACGAGTGCTGCACCCATTTCACAGTTTTCTTGTGGAGTGTTGTTACAGGCATTTTCACCTTCATTATATTGTATATTTACATTATTGTTATTTTCACTTTTACAACGTATATTAATGTTATTGTTATTTTGACTTTTAACACCATCTGCTGTATAAAGAAGATCACTGTGAGCAATGTTTCAATTGCTCAAATGTTTTCTCAAATGTTTTCTCAAATGTTTGCTTAAACAGTGAAAGTGAAAAATTGTAATGCACAACCTGGCTGTCCACAAGAAAGATGATTTTTCCCATATAGATACATAGAATGGTTGTTACGTAAATGCCACACTAATTTTTTAATATTAAAGTTTCCTTTCTTACATATGCTACAAAAATATTCTTCCATGTTTACTATTCAATAATTACATTAAAAATACGAGCACGTATTTCACGCATTTTTGGAGTAAAACTAAGATTATCGACATCAATGTCATAGAATATCATCTGCACAAATTTCCAGAATATTTCTAGTGATTCTTCATATTTGCAGCCAAATACATAATGAGCCTTGAATAGAGTGTCAAAAGCACTAATACTTAACATGTGAGCAGAGCATGGCAAAAGCTTTCCATCAAAGACCACATAAAAATTGCTGATTGCTTGTTGATTAGAACCGACTGCTAGTAGAAATGGCTGCAAACTAATTTTTGTAAGTTCTTGTTCGGATGGCAGTGGAAGACCAATCTAAAATATATGCAATATTTTATAAAACATAAATAAACGTAGAATATGTATACAAACATATCTGCAAGGTTGCAATAGATACAAGTTCTAAACAATAACAAGCAAATAATTATTAATTTATTTTGTTACCTGATGAAACGATATAAGACGTGACATTGCTACATCTATAGTTGCACAATTCGGCTTCTTTTTTCTTTTAGCTGTTGGTGGTAGAAGATGCAGAAGTAAAAATAGCGTTTGTATAGTTTTGTCCCATACTGCCAATAAACATACATATTGCACTTCATCACATCAATGAAAAACAACATTAAAAGTTTGTAATTCTGTGCATTATTAAACACTTTTATGCAATATTTTTACTCTTTTTTTTAATTGTAATTTCAGATACTTTAAAAATTCTACTTTCAAATTCTTGCCAGTTTTCAATTAATTTGGATGAATGCTCTGGCATTAAAGCTTCAAAATCTTTTTGTATCTAAAAAATAATAATATAAGTAAACAACTTATATATTGCTTTTATTTAATTCTAAATTAAAACAAAAAAGGCTTACCAAACCTGGCGTATCTAGAAATCGTGGAAATTCTATGAGTATATTTTTGGAGAGTTTTGGATCCAGTATTATAGTACGTCGATATTTTAATGACTGTCTCATCCTAACTTCAATGTCAGCCAATTGTGTCGTTGGAGATGCATTTTTTAGCCACTCGACAATTTCCTTTTCTTGATTTTCATTTATCTGACTATCAGGAACTCTCGGATTTTCAGGGCTGCTACTAGCTAACAAAGCTATTCCTGCTTGTATCTTGGCTTTTTTTGGATTATTGTAAGAATCTGTTATCCTATTCACTGTACGAAGGCGCCAGCTCAAATAACCGCTTCTATCTTTAGGATTGTAGAACAGCTCCTGTATGTGTGTGTGTATGTATAGAAAAAAATAATCTTTATTTTTTGCATGCAAGCAAAATCTTACACATAAAATACTTACGTATCCCTCTGCAGTGCTGGGATCCCGTAATGTTGGAAAATTTTGCACTATCCCTTTTGCGTAAAAAATCTTGACGTTTGTACTTGGGATTATTCTATAAAAGGAAACAATGAAGTTTAAATTGTATAATGTACCAGAAAGGGAGAGTATCATAAAAAAGATTATTTACCCATGCTGCTCTTGAATATGTTCAACAATTAATCTAACCAAAGCTCGACGAGATTCAGGTTTCAAAGTAGCACTTACTTCATATTCTTCTAGCAGATTACGTCCAATTGCTGTTTCGTTCAAAGCTTCGTTAACTACCTATATAAAAATATTGTGTCATATCATCAAAACACAACTATACATATGCATTAATTTTTATTTTAATTTTTACTTAAATTATTTCTAAAGCAATCTTATATTACTGTCAATTAATATGTTGTCTATAAAAGTACTTTTTTGGATCTTGACTCAGCAGATAAACATTCTCTTTAGCAATTTTGGGATACTGCTCAGCAGGTGATGTACAAATGTTAGTGTTGTTACAAGCAGATGATGTACTGGCAGAAACATTCTCTTTCGCAGTTTTCAGATGTTCTTTAACAGGAGTTAGACAAATATCAATGTCGTCATAAGCAGCTGACGTACTGGCAGAATTGTTTGTAGCACCTTCCAAATACTGGTCAATAGGCAATATACAGATAACGTCGTCACAAGCAGACGATGTACTGTCAGACAATGAATCTATTGCTGCTGTTGAACACACCATAGATGATGATCCTAATACATTATGACAAAATTTTTGAAAATATTACATTTTCTGAATGTACACAATTATATATATTGCTGGGTTTATAACAAACTTACCGGTGGCAACTGAAGTTTCTTTACAAATATTTAAAATAAAGCTATCTGACTGCTTTTCCAGTATGTACTCTATTAGATCCTCAGAGTTTATTTCAGTCTCATCTGAATCTCGAAATGTTATTTTTTCATCTCCTTCTGCCATAAATTTTGTACGTACTAGTGTAAAGAGAAAAATAATTTATTTCAAAATAATTTCCCAATAAATACAGACACATAACTGCAATGAACATGTACATTGCATGTGACATATATATATTAATCACATTACACAGCAGTTACGTATTACATTCGTTTGCTAGGCTATTACCATCATTAAAAGAAATTTTGCAAAAACAAAATGTACTAGTCAAAAAGCAAATATTAATTTATTAAGCAGTGGAGCGTAAAAATAAATCTGATAGCAAACGAACATAATACAATAAATCTTAGAATATCAGTGATCTTTACTGTTGCAAAATAAAAGAAATGAGATGTTTCTTTATTTGTAATGAAGCAATTAATCTCAGAACCCATACAGCACACATGTCCAAAAGCGGAACGTAAGACGTCCCGATTTCGGACATGGTATGCTGACTAGGAAACATTCAACTGATGTATATCACGTGAAGATTCTGATTGCCATGTTTTTGTGTTACACTGCTTAATATATATTTGTAACTTGAAACACTGTATAACTTTACCTCTAACGATGAATTCTTCTGCTGTATCACTCGTATTTAAGTGGACAAACTTCTTCACGTTATGGTACTTTACCTTAATAAGCATATTGTCGGGCTGATATATCCTCTTCGATAATACACTGATTATTACAAACACTTGAATAATTCGACGAAAAAGAAGTCCTATACACTTTCCCGTATATAACGATGACGCGAACACGAACTAATAACCTGATACACGATACACGATAAACCTAAACGTGTAGTCGCGTGTCGCGTCGTCACACCGCACGTTGTGAAAACAAAACAATATAGCATCAAAGTTTGACATCGCGTTTTCGGTGTGAAAGATTCTCAACAATTTCGGTGTTAAAATTCACACCGAATTGTTTAACTACATGGGTGTGGTGAAATTTCACACCGATATTTTTTAGAGTGTAGGTTCAACAATCGGCGATGTTCTCTCGGTGTTCAGCAGCGTATTTACAGCCGTCATGGTGCTCGTCGATGCACAATTAAATAAAATTTTTTTTTCACCAGCTGTGCTCGTCGATACATGAACGAATAAAATTTCTTTTCCGCCAAAACCAAAATTTCTCGAAGTTTTGTCACATGAATCCACAAGCAACATTGGAAGCTCGTCGATATTGAATGCTGCATCTGCGATAATCGATGGTGATATCAAGGTATCGTCGTGAATAGCAGTCTGCGATGGCTCTATTTGTTGCAGTATTTCCGGTGTGATGTTTTCATTACAGCTTGGAATACCCGGGTACCCGCCCTTCGCCCGTTACCCGTTGTATACGGATCTGGACCGGTTCCGCGGGTACCCGGGTAATTTGGGTAGCGGGTACCTGTATCGATTCGGGTACCCGCTACCCTTGTCAATACGGGTACCCGTTATACCCGCGTCAGTACGAGTACCCGTATCGAGGCGGGTCTGCAGCGTATGCTACAGATATCTGTGTGTATTACACGGAGACGCGTATATGCAAAGTAATAAAATGTAAATTCTCACACGCTTCAAAAATATATAAATGAAAACTTTTCATTGCTGAGTAAATTTGAATTTATTGGCTGTAGCGGCAAAGCAGCCACGAAATCTTCTTCCGGTGTGATGTTTTCGTTGCTGAGTGGATTCGAATTTATTGGCCGTAGCAGTGAGGCAGCCGCGAAAGCTTTTTGCGGAATTATATTTGGATTGAGTGAACAGATTCCGGTCGAGCTAAATCCAGAAATCCCTTTTTCGATTGAAGCAACTTTTACGTAAGCTTTTCTGAAAAGTAAAGCCAAATCATATTCAGTGATTTTACGCAACGGCTCAGATTTCATCATATTATCACTTTTCTTGCGGAACGCAGCTTTGAATGGACCGAAAAAAGTAACATCTAATGGCTGAAGTCAATGTGAAGGCAATGAAACCATCACTATGCCATGGTCACGACAGAATTCGTAAGTTTCTAGAAAAATATGACTTGCGTGATTATCCAAAATCAGTAAGACTGGCGTCTTTTTTGAACATTTTGAATTCTCCACAAAGTGCTTCAGCCATACAAGGAACAGTTCCGCTGTCGTCCACCCGTTTTTTGAGCAATGATAAATTGCTCCGATAGGGCCATCAGTTGATAAGCCAGCTGCCATTCTCTGACGAGGAAAATTGAACATTGGAGCAACAAAACTCCCTGCAGCGCTGGCAGCACAGATGACTGTGACAGTTCTTCCTCATTGGTCATAGCACCAAGTCTCTTCTGACCTTTCGCAGCGATCACAGTTTGGGGATGTTGGACTGTTGTAATTCCTGTTTCGTCCATATTCCAAATTTGGGATGGCGAGAAGTTATATTTGTCCATCACGATCCTCAGGTTATCAAAGAACATTTTTACAGCCTCTGGATTGAATGCCGTCACACGATTAAGGCTTGTTGCCTCTGGTTTCCTCACGCGGATTGAAGAATTACGAGCTTGAAATCCGTAGAACCAATCTAGGCCAGCACACCTTTTTTCTTTATTAAAATTATTGGGGTTATTGTGGCGTTTAGCAAACTCAAATGCTGCGCAGCGCACTTGAAGAGGTGTCTGTCCGTAGAACACTTTCGCTAACTTTATTAAAGTATCAGCCAATGCAGCTTCTTGGGCTGCTGTAAAAACAGGCTTTCGACCCATTCTTGGCTCTGAGGAATTGTCTCCGGTTTTGAATCTCTGCTGGATAGTGCTGAAGGAAATGTTCGATGCAGTCGCAGCCTGACGAATGGGAATTCCAGCTTTTACTGCCCCGATATAGCTGCTCTGAGCTCGTCTGAGGACCATTTTCCTCTTTCGGTTTTTCTTGGTCTACAACGAGGCATCTTAAATTGAAAATATAATTACAATTAATGATTAACAGAAAAATTTAAATTTTAACTTAAAATTCCGGCGTTATTTCAAGACTGAAATGTCCATCAAATTGAACATATTTTCTATGTTAATCATGTATATTATTCATTTCTCACTGAGTTTGGATAAATTCTACCTTTGTGGTATAAATACAGGTATACATACCATGATGTTTACGCTGTCACTCGACGTTTGCAGACATGTGCCCGATGGTTACAGGTGCGCCACGACTGCAATTTCCCCGTGCAAGCGACTACCGTTACCTCAAAAACCGAGTGAATTTGTTATAGTAAATAATAATATACTTGTATTTATACGATGTCATCGTTTTAATATGGGCGAAATGAAAGCTAAAGAACCAGAAAAATCATAAATAACGGTTAGATGTAATTTTAACTACTAAAAATTTCGCAAAATTCTTATTAAAAGTACATTGATTCTTATAAGAAAAAGGGTGTAAAATAAAAATCACCAGATTTTTATTAATTTATGTTGGTTTAATAGACACGGCATAATAAATTACTCGATAATCACGTGTGTAAACTAATAGAGATAAAAAAAGTTTGATATAACTGTTGGTTTATATAAAATACAGGTGACCGGCATTGCCTGATGACTGTAATTCCTCCATTCTCTCCTATAAAAAAAACGTGTTTTATTCAACATATACATATATAATTATACATAATTTTGTTTCAAAATGTTTAATTATATATGATTATATGTAAATATCGAGTCATCCGATAAATGGCATCTGACGGGATTCGTTTCTTGTATTTAAAATACGACAAACAATAGTATAAGAACAGTATATAAATGACGGAACTGCACGACTTGTATCAGAGTTTTATCGTAAAGTCCTCTTTTATAATAAAAGTGTGGCGTGCTTTTGGATTAATGCAACATTAATGTAACCTATATATTATATTAGATAGATAGGTAGATATTGTTCCCTTTGTGTGGGGTTACAATCTTTACAAATACAAAACTTAACGCTAACTTAATTCTATCTTACTCTTCGCCTTATCTCGCTTGCACGCTTCACATGCCTCGCACGCCCCGCACGCCTCGCACGCTTCTCGCTTCTTCTCTCTCCCCCTCCTACCCTATCGCATGGACTTCCGTTCCCGTTTACAACTTCTTTCCACTCACTCATACTTTCTCATGCCTCTCTCCCGCATTCTCCATTCACCCTCCTCTTTCACCACATCCCCTTTCCTCGTTCACCTCTCTCATCCACTCCTCCCCCGCTCCATCCTCCCCTAATACCCTCATATACGCTTCTTGCCAGCTTCCGCCTCCTTCTTTGATCCACTCCCTACATTTCTCCCATACGTGCTCTCACGTCTCCATTTCCGTACCACATAACCTACACACTCTTTCGCCCTTTTCTTGCCAATACCTTCCCTCCTTCATCTCATTGCCTAGTTTAAAACGCACTACTCTTCTCCACCTACTTTCCCCCCAACCCTTTAACAAATACTCCGGTATACCGTCCCCTTTAACCAATCCATATTATTTATTGTACCTAGCATTCCCTATCTTCTCCCATCTCTCTACCTTCTGCAATTCTTTGACCCTTTCTTCCAACTCCTCAATATTTATTACTTTTTCTTCCCTTATCAGTTCTCGCAAATCTACTCCTCTAATTTCGAAGAACTGCATTCTTTCCTTCTCCTATCTCGACAGTTTCCTTCCCCTTGCTATATTGTCCCCCATCTTCAATAAGCATCTCTGTGCCAACACACTTCCCCTTCCCTCCAGCAATCTTTCCTCAAAACCACATGCTCTTCTTCCTGCCCTGCTCCTTAATTTCTTTTTTTGCACTTCTTCACTCACCAAATATCCCGGCGTTCTCCCTTCTTCTCCTAACACTCATCTCAAGAACCTTTCATGCATTCTCTCCACCTCCCCTCTCTCCTTCCACTCCCAAATCTCCGTAGCTCGCCACCGTTCATACTAATTTATCAAAGAACCCTATCCTCCTCTTCCAATTCTTTCCAAACCTTCTCTTTCCAATACCCTATATCTGCCTCATTATTGCAGCTGCCTTCGACATTTTTTCCTTAGCTTGAACTTCCTGCCCTCCATTTCTCTGCAATGTGTACTCAAGATATTTCATTTCCTACACTTCCTCTATCTTTTTTCCTTTCCATCTCCAATTCATTATACTCATCCTACCCATCCCCTCTCTAAATCTCAAAATTTTTGTTTTCCCCGTATTCAAACTCAATCCTTTTCTGTCTAAGTACCCTTTCAACCATTCTATCATACTTCTCATACTCCCTTTATCTTTTGCCAACAGCACAACATCATCTGCATATATCATATTCTATCTTCCCCCAATCTCACCCTTCTCCATTTTACCTTCCCCATCTCCTCCTCCAAATCAGCCATTATTAGATTGGCTATAACAAATCCGCACTCAACGGACACCCCTGCCTCACCCCTTTGCCTTCCAACACCCTGCTCCCGTTTCACCTCCCACTCTCACTCTACTCCTAGTTTCCCTCATTGTCAGTATCTTTTCGACTCTCTCTACTAACCTTTCCCTTACTCCTCACTCCCCTCTCACTCTCTCTCTCTCTCTCTTGCTCTCTCTCTTGTGTGAGTATTGGTAGTGGTCAGATTTCCTCGCTCCTGTTTCAAGTCAACATTTCTGCTGCCGTTAATTGCCTTCGGGCTATTTTTTTTGCTGATTCTTGCAAGTTTTTTGTTGCTTGATGCGTGTGATTTTCATTTTCTATGAGATTGCCTCCCAGTTCTTAGCATTTTTGGGTCAAATCTCTTTGGTCATCATAACCTCACTCTGGTATCGTCGTGGAATCTTGGTCTTGCCCGAGCCGAGACGTCCACCCGTTGCGCATGTGCCTGCTTCCTGGTCTGCTCTTTCTGCACCTCACTGCTTTTGGGTTGCCTGTCTGCTCTCTGTTCGGTGCGTTTGTGCGGTGTGTGCCTGCCCTGACTAGCGTGGACTACCTTGCCCGACCTCTATGAAGTTGGCCGGACATAACTTCAACGTATCGAACTTTCATTAATTGGAATCGATTGGTGGTCGTTTGGTGGTCTTTGGTAGTCTAGTCTAATCGTTTGATGGTTAGTCGTTTTCCTGTAAAATAAAAAT